TGCGGAGCCCCGATGTCACGGCCTCCGCTCTGCAGGGCATCCAGGTGGCCATCCATGAATGCCAGCACCAGCTCCGTGACCAGCGCTGGAACTGCTCCTCTCTGGAGGGCCTTGGGAAGCTTCCGCACCACAACACCATCCTCAACAGGGGTGAGAGCCCGAGGCAAGCCAATGATGGTCCAAATATGACCTGGGTTTATGGGGGTGTGGGTGTAGATATGAGAGTAGAAATTGTTATGCACACAGACACAGGACTGTTTTAGAGCTACGCTGTTTATCAGTTTCAACTCCTTGACTGTGTGTCTCCTGCTCCCAGGTTTCCGTGAGAGTGCCTTTTCTCTGGCCTTGTTGGCAGCGGGTGTGGCTCACTCTGTGGCCTCGGCCTGCAGCATGGGCAAGCTGCGGGGGTGTGGCTGCGAGGCCAAGCGTCGCCAGGACGATGACAAGATCCGGCTGAAACTCACACAGCTGCAGCTGCAGACCCTGCAGAAGGGTGGAGTAGGCCTCGGCATGACACGGTCATTACCCTCAGGGCTGAACGGTCACCATGGCGACCTGCCCGCTAACCTGCGCTCCACCCACCCCTCCGCCCTACTCAAGCCTTTACCAGATGAGCTGAGCTCCATGCAGGAGACGTGGGAGTGGGGGGGCTGCAGTCATGACGTCCGTTTTGGTGACCGTTTTTCCAGGGACTGGCTCGACTCCCGTGGGTCTCCAAGAGACATCCACGCTCGCATGAGGATACATAACAACCGGGTGGGACGACAGGTGAGTAATGTGCTTGTCCACTGTGTTCTTCATGTTGCTCAGAGACCAGTCTCGCTCCTCATTGGTCTATATAATCATCAGGGTCATTGCTGCATCTCTGATCTGTGACATCATCTTCTTTCTTCTACACAGATAGTGACTGACAACATGAAGAGGAAGTGCAAATGTCATGGCACATCAGGGAGCTGTCAGTTCAAGACCTGCTGGCATGTGTCTCCAGAGTTCCGGCTTGTGGGTTCTCTACTCAAGGACAAGTTCCTGTCAGCCATCTTTGTCAACTCCCAGAACAAGAACAATGGGGTTTTCAACCCTCGAACTGGAAACGGTGCCAGCGGGAGTACAGGGGGACTCAACGGAGGTCGCCGCCGATCCATGTCCAGAGAGCTGGTGTACTTTGAGAAGTCTCCTGATTTCTGTGAGCGCGATGCATCAGTAGACTCTCCGGGTACACAAGGACGCATCTGCAACAAAACCAGCTACAGCACAGACAGCTGCGGCTCGCTGTGCTGCGGCCGTGGACACAACATCCTGAAACAGACACGCAGCGAGCGCTGCAATTGTAGGTTCCACTGGTGTTGCTACGTGCTGTGTGAGGAGTGCCGTCTCACGGAGTGGGTCAATGTGTGCAAGTAGATTCTCCCAGTCCCAGTTGCCTTTACTCATCCAGGACTCAAGATGGCGAGCCTGTCCCTTCGCCCACTCCTTTTGTTCAAGCATTTGTTTTGCTCCTTGTGTAACTCTCCCAGAGAATCTGTTTACCCCCCCTCTCTCCTATTTTTTTTTTGGTCCATCATCTGGGATCTATTTTCTCTTTGTAGCCGCTGTTATTCTCAAAATGCCAAGTCAGAGATTGAAGAGGTGACTCATGTCATTTGTCTTGCCATGGCCTGTTTAGACGCTGCCCTCTCAGCCATGAAAACAGCCTATACCCCATCTTCTCTATCCCACAAAACAAAGAGGAGCAACAGCAGAGAAGCTTTCCTGTTACACTGTCTACATGCTGACTCATCTCATTGTACAGTAGTTGTGTATTTTAATGTGTACATGTATATTTGTAAATGTATTATTATTAATATTATTATTGTGTCAGAGCCTGTCTTTTTGGTTCTAGTTACTGACAGATTCGTGCTGGCTGAGTAGCTCAGGATGGTGAACCAGTGCTGTTAGACAACTAAGTCTCATCGCAGCTTATCTTTCATTTAACCGTGCTCTTCTAATGATAGAAGATATTTACTCCATTTGTATATTTTGCACCTGTGACTCAGACAGAGCAACGGTACTTATATGGGGGTCAGTCAGAAAATGTTAATAGACAATGGTTTTACTATAGAAGAAGACAAGATTAAGAGCAGTGTTTTGTGGTTTCTGAAGGACTGACACATCTGATAGAAAGCTTTGTTTCCTAGAAACAACAGGACAGAAAGCACATAAACTTATCAACTTATCAAAGCTTGTATACTTGTAAAAGTCAAGATGGGAAAGTTTTGGAAACAAATTCAGACCTTCGATTCCTTACGCTGAGCAACTAATCATTTTGATTTATTTACACCATTGTAACAATATTGATTACTTCATGAGAGTGGTCTCGAGTGGTCGTGTTTTTCTTGAATGTAACTGTGATGTGATGCGTGTCACTTTTCCTATGAAACCGTGACTGAGCTCTTGTTTCCCTGTGCTTGCTTTTGTCCATTTCATCAGTCCGAGCTCTCCGTAGATTCTTCCCACATGTAGTACATGTCAAAGTGAGAGATGGACCTGCTTTAGTCTGATGCTGAAGGGTGTGTGTATGTTTGACTCTGTGTGTGTGTGTGTGTGTGTGTGGGTGTGTGTGTGTGTGTGTGTGTGTGTGTGTGTGTCTGTTGCTGTGTAAATGGAGGTGGGGGGGGGCAAGTTCTACGCACTACAGATTTGGGAGGTGAGAGCCTTTTTTATGGCCACTTCATGCTGAGAGAAGGACTTTTTATGGCTGCAGGATATTGTTTCCTTAAAGTATGACTTTTATTACTGGAGAGGAGCATCAAGAGAGCAGAGAGTGGGGGTGATTATACCAGTCTTTGCTGTGTGAGCATCTGAGGGGATCATCTGTCCAGAGTTCATAGCCGAGGAAGGGACTCACTAAACCACGTGGGACGCTATGTCCTTGTTACCTGGGAGACAGACCACACAAACATAAACACAGGCACATAAACACATGCATGCGTTTATGCGCAAAGACATTCGCATGTAGCAATACTGGCACTGGTGCACAATCAAAAACATGCATGCTGGTGCGCACGTATGAACTGTCAGACAGAACTCCTGGTGACCCGAGTGATTTGCACTTTCAGTCTTGTTACACTGCAGATTTAGCAAAACTCTCATGTCAACACATCTGAATTTATGACAGCAGCATTCCTCGATATCTCAGATGATCCAAACTCCATTTTCAGTCTGCCATTTAGGATTTAATGCAAATTAAGTCTTGTTTGTGTGGACTTTGGTAAATATCCCTGACTTCTGAGGAATGGTGGTGCCAGTGGCTGAATTGACTGTTCTGTCTGTTTGGTATTTAGCACGGGAATAAAACGGAGACAGTGACTGGTATGGAATGATAAGGGACTGGATTTCTGGTTTGCATTTCTTCATTCCTTTATCATTTCACCCTGGAGCTGCTGCGAAAGGGAATTTCCTGTCACTGTTTCTCCCATGTGTGAGACAGAGGTTGGTGGACAGCCTGGGATTGGTTTCTCTCCCCTCTCTGCTCTCTTTTCCTCTCTTTCTCTTTCTCCCCCTCATCGCTGCAGACATAGACACATGCATAGCAACACATTGACTGCCCCCCGAGTAATGATAACCAGACTGGGCTGAAATTAAAGAGAGGGAGCCAGAGAGAGGAAGTTAGGAGAGATAAAAGTTACCCACTTTGATTGACAGGATGATTATATGTATAAAGTAAGGCGATTTAGTGTGTTTAGTTGGATATAAAGATAGGGAGATAGATCCTTGCTGTACGTTCAGCGGAGATGCAGAAGCAAAGGACAAATGGGGTATGGGAGAAGGGGGTGAATAAAGTGTACTCTGTATAAATACATGCCTCAAAACATCTGCTTCTCAACTCCCCTTTCATTTTTGATGTGGGACAGGCAGAGAAGGAGAGCGGGAGAGAAAACACAAGGAGCCAGCTACCCAGAACATCAAAGCCCCTGCCCTCAACGCGCAGGCCCTCATTAGTTCAGCTAGCAGAACCAACGAGACTTGTGATTGTGTTTGCTGGGGTGCACGCTGGCAGACACTTCAGAGGAAAGGCTCCTTTAAGTCATAGCTCCCCACCCCACCTCTCCTGCCACCACCCGAGCCCGCTGTAACCCCCCTGTAACCCTCTCGAAACTCCCCGTGCACACAAACTCGGAAGGCTCCCCCACCATCCACTCCACCCCGTAATCTGGTCTGCAGCTGCAAACATATGTTCCCCTCTTTATTCCTCTGCCTTCACCACTGAGTTGATAAACACATCTATCACCTGACCACTGACTGACACACAACAGAGAGGAAGAGGGAGACAAATGTTGGATTCACCTATAAGTGTGGGGCTGCTCTCAGGCATGTTGTTTTTATATGGTTAATGGATTAAACCCACACCTGGAGGGAGGTTCCTTCCTAACTCCTACATGTATTGCCACCTGTAAAACCACATAAATGCATAGTATCTCCTTTTGATACACATGATACCATAACAAATCAGTATTCAAGATTAGTAAACTGCCATAAGATTGATTCTGTGTATGTTTTGTTGCTTCCTATCACCTCATTAGATGTGACACAGAGGCCTGCTGCCAGGAAGTATCACTTGGTGTCCTATTACAGTCAGCCATTTACTTATTCATTAAGATGATTCCTGTTTTAATTATTCAAGCATGTTTGCCTGCAGACTCTCTGTTACAATTCATATTGGTTTAGTTGCTGTGAAAGCACACAGTCACATTTAAACACACAAGCTGTGTCAATTTGTCAGATAGGAAACTGTGTGTGAATAAAAGCTGGACACTATTTGATCTAGAAGACATAAATAAATAAAAGGAAGTCTCAAAGCAGGTCGATGCTGGTGTTACTTACAATTATTCATGTGGTCATAAACAGACAATGAAATTACAGTTGCCCTCCAGCAGTGCTCTTTGCTTTTCACAAGTCATCGGAGATGGCAAACGTGAGAGGTGCTCTTGACAACCCAACCATCGCGAGAGTACACGGCTTCCCAACCGTTGCTCCTCGCGAGACTATCATCCAGTCCTCTGCCTGAATCCAGCTGGTAGCCTGCCTGCCGTTGACGGGTAAGTGTGAATGAGATGCAAATGGTGAAAATGCTCAAAGATGTATACGAGTAATAAAGGTGACCGCAGCGTATGTGTGGCTGTTTTGACGCCTCGTTTAACGTCTCTCGGTAAAATGAACCGCCGGTAATCGACGACATCAGGCCGACTGGTGCGCTTGTCGTGACTGTACGAGGGGGATTACAGCACACAAATTGACCCGGAGAATTTTTTTTCAATGCTTAAGACGTTAGCTAATATGGTCGCTAGCTAACTGCGCTCGAATAACCGTCGTTTCACGGTGTAAATACGTAATTTGGCTCATTCAAATTCATCGTCTGTCTGGACTGCAGCAGCAGCCGTCTTCCCCTCGCGCTATGACAGATGTAGCGTTACATGGATGTGCGGCCACTGCAGCTGTAACAGGCTATGCTAGCAGCTATAGCATTTGCATTCAATATAAATGAATGGAAACGTGGCTAGGCAGTGATAGCATCGGTTACATCATCAAAATATAAGCGTATTAGATTAGTAGTCACAGCCATGGTGGGCTGTGGATGCATATTTTTGCTAATATTGGGATATCCCTAAATTAGCCCCCCCCCCAAAAGCCCCTCAGGTAGATGTTAGCACAAGTTGACAGCAGAGTTGGCCTGTTAAAGGGACCATACCAAGACAGAAAAGCCAAATTCAAAGCCTCATGCTTCTATAGTCTATGTGCATCATACATTCTCACAACCCGAGGTTATGTGTCATTTAATGTAATATGAATTGATTGTTACAAAGGCATTTATCCACTTGCCAGCAAACAGCATAAAAGGTGGTTACTCTGCACCACATGAAAGCTGATCCACAAAACAGAGATCAAGTATGGCTGCCTGTTTCCCCTGTGAGTTGTCAAAGTGTAAAGCAACAGCCCTCAAGTCAGGTCAGCCGCCTGCCGAGGTGTGAAGTATGCTTTTACTGGTTCTCTGAGGTGGCTTCAAGCCCTAACGAGGTGGTAACGTTGAGAGTTGCTTTTGAAGAGCTACTGTGTCTCACCGCGTGATTTTTTGGTGTGGTTTCTGACTTTCTGTATGTGGTTGACGGTTTGTTTTGGCTGCTTTGTTGCTATGTATTGCAAGTGGTCTCTTGAGTTCCTTGTGTAACAGTTCTGTTGCAGTTGAGGTGAGAGCCGCCGGTCATCATGGGGAACATCTTTGGTAACCTGTTGAAGAGCCTGATAGGCAAGAAGGAGATGAGGATTCTCATGGTGGGGCTGGACGCTGCTGGGAAAACCACCATCCTCTACAAGCTGAAGCTGGGGGAGATCGTTACCACCATCCCCACAATTGGTGCGTGGATTGGATTTGTTACTGACAGTGTTAGGTAAAAACACCTGTCACTGAGTTGTGTAACTCATTTTTGCTTTTTTTAAAATCAGGTTTCAATGTTGAGACGGTGGAGTACAAGAACATCAGCTTCACCGTGTGGGACGTGGGTGGCCAGGACAAGATCCGTCCCCTGTGGAGGCACTACTTCCAGAACACTCAGGGTGAGACACACCAGCAGCCCCTTAGATGACGCACCAGTCATTCATGTTGGACTAAATAGGGCTGCTCAGAGCTGTGGCAGAGCCTGCAGCAATTGCTCGCCCCCAGCACCTGAGGGCATATCTGACTAATGTTTTAGATGAGGTCATTTGCATACAGCCTCCAACTGTTTCAAATTATTATCGTCTTAGTCATGTTGAAAGCCTCAGCAATAAATAAAGTTGGTCTAGCAATATGGTTTTTGAACAGTATGATGTCAGCATATTTTTAACCAGTGTGGTGAAACCATGGATGTATTACTACAGTCACAGGCTCTGGGGCCCAAAGAGACACAAAATGACTACAAGGACACACATAATGACTACAAAGAGACACATAAGGACTACAAAGAGACACATAAGGACCACAGAGACACAAAAATGACTACAAAGAGACACCAAATGACCACAAAGAGACACCAAATGACTACAAAGAGATATCAAATGACTACAAAGAGATATCAAATGACCACAAAGAGACACCAAATGACTGCAAAGAGATACCAAATGACCACAAAGAGACACCAAATGACCACAAAGAGATGCCAAATGACCACAAAGAGATGCAAAAAGACTACAAAAAAATGCTAGCCAACTACAAATAGACACAATACAACTACAAAGAGACACCAAATGACTACAAAGAGACACAAAATGACCACAAAGAGATATCAAATGACCACAAAGACACACTAAATGACTACGAAGAGATACCAAATGACCACAAAGAGACACCAAATGACTACAAAGAGACACAAAATGACCACAAAGACACACAAAATGACCACAAAGACACACCAAATGACTACAATGAGATACCAAATGACCACAGAGACACCAAATGACTACAAAGAGACGCCAAATGACTAGAAAGAGATATCAAATGACCACAAAGAGACACCAAATGACCACAAAAAAACGCCAAAAGACTACAAAGAGATATCAAATGACCACAAAGAGACACAAAATGACCACAAAGAGATGCAAAAAGACTACAAAAAATGCTAGCCAACTTCAAATAGATACAATACGCCTAAAAAGAGACACCAAATGACTACAAAGACACACCAAATGACTACAATGAGATACCAAATGACCACAAAGAGACACCAAATGACTACAAAGAGATATCAAATGACCACAAAGAGACACCAAATGACTACAAAGAGATACCAAATGACCACAAAGAGACACCAAATGACTACAAAGAGATATCAAATGACCACAAAGAGACACCAAATGACCACAAAGAGACGCCAAATGACTACAAAGAGACACCAAATGACTACAAAGACACACCAAATGACTACAAAGAGATATCAAATGACCACAAAGAGACACCAAATGACCACAAAAAGACGCCAAATGACTACGAAGAGATACCAAATGACCACAAAGAGACACCAAATGACTACAAAGAGACGCCAAATGACTACAAAGAGACAAAAAATGACTACAAAGAGACAAAAAATGACTACAAAAAGATCCTTACCAACTATTAAGAGACACAAAACCACAGAGACACAATAAGACTACACAAAGGTACAAAACAACTACAGACACAAAACAACTACAAAGAGACACAAAATGACCACAGAGATTTAAAATTACTATAAGATGGCACAAAATTACCACAAAGTGGCTACAAAGAGATGCAAAGCAACTACAAAGAGACTAAAGATTACCACAAAAAGACAAAAAAATGACTGCACAGAGACTATAAATGACCACAAAGAGAGACCACAGAAAGAACTACAAAGTGATACAAGGGGAGTACAATAAGGTGTAAAACAACTACAGACACAGAACAATGAGACACAAAAACCAAAGAGGCTTACCAACTGTAAAGTCTATGTGTCTTGCTTCTAAGTAAGAGAGGTGGTGGGGCTTTCTGCAAGCCCAGGGGCTTATTGTCTCATGGGTGAAACTGATTCTGGGATAGCAGCGCTAATGGTTTTGGTTTTATTTAACCCTTTTAAAGACAAGCTCTCATCTTTCCCTGCAGGTTTGATCTTTGTGGTAGACAGCAATGACCGTGAGCGTGTGAACGAAGCTCGGGAGGAACTGATGAGGATGCTGGCTGAGGATGAGCTTCGGGATGCTGTTCTGCTCGTCTTTGCCAACAAACAGGTATAAGCTTCCTTGTGTCTTCCCCTATGTGTTCCTTACTTTATGCAGTTTTGCACCAACGCAGGCCCACTGTTTGACACACCTGATGTGGTTTCTTTCAGGACCTGCCCAATGCCATGAATGCCGCAGAGATCACAGACAAGCTGGGCCTTCACTCGCTACGCCACCGCAACTGGTACATTCAGGCTACCTGCGCCACCAGTGGAGACGGTCTCTACGAGGGCCTGGACTGGCTGGCCAATCAGCTGAAGAACAAAAAGTGAGGAGTCCAGTCGGTAGAGTGGGGAAGAGCCTGGGTGCCAGCTCCAGGTAGTGGTTATAGAGGATCCATTGTGTTTACATGGAGAGGCAGTGCTGAAAAGCTCCCAGGGGGTGACTCTCAATGGCTTTCCCCCAAAAATACTCGTTTCATTTCTTTATTTTGATTAATTTCATTTGTTTTGATCTGCGGTGAGCGTTTTTAAATATTTACAAACCAACGGTGTTGACCTAAACGACTTACATTCTACACACTGAATACATAAATATTGGGATGTAATAGTATAATGTTACTGTAAAGGCATATGTATTTCCCCTACTTTGCAGTCTCTTTGCCCTCCATCACCTTTTAATTTGTTCAGAAAGCGTGACGATGTAGAGCAACCTTCCCTCAGATACTTTAAACTTAATGTAAATTATAAAGAATGTCATAATAGTATAGTGAGACTACTACTACTGTCTCAGATACTATCACATTGTTTAAAAACAGTATACTCATACAGGCTCAGATAAATGTAAAGTTGTCATTTTTCCGTCCATACTTGTGTTTTACCACCAAATTATGCGCTTCAGAGCTCAATTTTTGCTTCAGTTATCTTAGATTTTAAGTTTATTTATCCTTGATTTGAATTTTATTTATTTTATTAGACACACTGGAAAGTCTTAAACAGTTTCTATTTTTGTCGACATGTAGTTATTTATTTATTTATTTATTCGTAAGTTTGCTTTATTTCCTAAGTGCATCATATGGTTTCTCTCCCTTTATTGCAATGTGCATTTACTGCTAAGGCAGCTGGTGAAAAAAAAAAGAAGCCCTAGTATCACTGTATATTACCGCTTCCCAATCTGCATGGAGATATCCCAGTACTGGCTCGTGGGCTTGTAAGAGCTGTGAACTACCGCAGGCCGCTGCTGTAAATAAAGATTTGTTCTTAGTCGACTTGCCTGGCTCAATAAGGGTTAAAACAATTTGTCTGGCATCAGCGAGGTGTGATAGCTGAACTGATACAGATGACAGAACAGGAACACTGTACCAGCTCTGTGGCTTAGGGGGTGGGGAAAAAATGCTGCTACTGGCCTGTGAAGAGTGATGCAGCAGAGCATGTGATTGGCAATATCAGAGAGCTTACATGGTTTTCGAATGTTTATTTTTTTAAGTCAGTTTGTGCAAGCAGCTGCACTATATCTGTCAAGAGAACTCACATTGCTTGTCATCCTGATTTATTCATCCCTAATTGGCGTGACATTACATGTGTTTCTTGTGTTAACCGTATCTCACTGTATTACGTTGCACAGAATAACTCTAGATGCATTATTGTTGTACAAAATGTCTGTTTTTTTTCTTGTATTTTTGAATGGAGTATTTATTCATTTTGGACCAAAAGGCAAGTGTTGATTTTAGTGTCGTTTTTTTTTCTTTTCTTAATTTGCTAACTAGATCAGATCGTTGTCTTTATGAGTGTTTACACAAATCACATAATTTGAAAAAAATAGGAGCGAGGATGATAGTAATACTGCATCATAAGGCATGTTAATAATGTACAAGATCTGTAATAAAAGTGAATTATAATAGCCTGTTTCCTCAGACTATATTTGTTAGTCTAAATTACTGCTGCTGGTTGGAACAACGCTGTACTGATAAATGTTATGGATTTAGTGTAAAGTTTACCGAACAACCTTCTAATATGCAAAAGCATGCTTTTCTATGTCAGCGCAACTGTATATATGTTTATGTAACGAGAAAAGTATACCATGGTATTCGCGGTCAAATTGAAAAGTGTTGTTGATACACCTGTAGATATTGGGGTCAGTGTGTTGGCAGATATGTATAACTGACAGCAGCTTGTGTGTGTGTGACGTGTCCTCTATTACGTTCAGTTTGGTGTGAAAATTGTTTTTGTGGCCTTATATTGCCAGTGGTTAATTTCTCTTTGATAACAGGTTTGTATGTAGGAATGTCTGACATTCAAGTATCTCACCTATGATCTGTAACACTGATGCACTCACAGTACTGTTGTGGCTAAACCATCCTTCTTTCAATGACTATTGGCAGATTTTAAACTTGAAACACTGTAGAAAAGAGAGACTGCAGAACATTCCAAACGATAAAGTTTATTCAAAAAAAGGAGCAAACGGAAAATGGATTTATTTAATCAAATGGAATATTATCAAGGAGAGGAAATAAAAACAACACAAACTGGTGCAGAAGTGTTGAATGATTTAATGATTCCTGGCACTACGTCGATCAATCAATAAAAAGACCAAAACTCAAAGTTGCTTTGCCTTACTCATTTTTTCCTTGCTGGACCCAGTTCCTCCGCCACCCTAGGCATTTCCCCACTTTTGATCAAACACAATTTAAAGAGCCCCTCCACACACATTTTTTAATTAAATGAAAAAATTCTGTTTCTTAAAAAATACTCTTTTAATAATGTTAGCCACCGCCAACAGGGGATGCTTCGATGTGTGTTGTGCAGGAGGAAGGATTACTCCGGACAAGGAATATAATGTCTGGGGAATGCTCTAACTCCAGTGCAGACGAACTTTGAAAGTCCACACCAGAGCCAGCGAGCAACCACGACAACATGTACAAAAATGTTAAAAACTTAAACACACCTACGTAGTTCCGGTAGAGAGGTAACATTTCCATAACAAATACTGCTATTATTTCAACATGCTGTATTAGACAAATATAACAGAAATGCTTTACCACATTACATGGGGCATAGGAACACTAATAACAATAACAGTACCATTATTACGATAATAATTTTTCATTAATTCATTTCCGTAACCGCTTATCCTGTTGGGGGTCGCCGGGGGACTGGAGCCTATCCCAGATGACATTGGGTGAGAGGCAGGGTACACCCTGGACAGGTCACCAGACTATCACAGGGCTGACACATAGAGACAGACAACCATTCACACTCACATTCACACCTACGGACAATTTAGTCTCACCAATTAACCTGCATGTCTTTGGACTGTGGGAGGAAGCCGGAGTACCCGGAGAAAACCCACACTGACACAGGGAGAACATGTAAACTCCACACAGAAGGGTTCCCTCCTGGCTTTGTACCAGGAACCCGCTTGCTGTGAGGTGACAGTGCTAACCACTACACCACTGTGCTGCCCACAATAATAATTTGTGTCTGATAATTGTTTTCCCACGAAAAGTTTAATTATCTAGTCCAGTGGTTCTCAAATGGTGTGCCGTGATGCCAATCCAGCTGTGCCATGGGATTTTGTGATAACCACACATTATCATTGCAATATTCAACTGGACCTAAAAAGTTATGAATTGATTTTAAATTGACTGTATCAGTATGTTGTGCACACCCATTTCCAAATGAAGAGGCAAAGTCTAGCCAAAAAAATTAAATCTAATGTAATTTAATTTAATTTACTTCAAATAACCTTCATGGGGAACCTATTTGTCACCGTTAGTGCATGGGAACTATTAGTGTGTGACACACCAAAGGCCCTGATTGTCAGCCAGTGTGAAGGATGATAACATTTAAAGGAGAAAGGTATGAGTTGGACAAGGGATCACTTTATTGTACGGAGCAAATTACAACAAAGCACCAGTGAAGACAACCTACCACCGAAAGAAAAGTGATAAGAGTGATAACACTCATTATAGAAGCTAATGTGCACAGATGTAGATACATGTGTGCCTTGAGATTTTGGCTCGCCTGTTGGTGTACTTTGGGCAAAAAAATTTGAAAAGTACTGATCTAGTCAAACATTCTTACAGCTACATCCACTCCTTCCTCATTGAAAAACCTAGAATCTTTTGATTTAAAGGAGCAGTATGTAGGATTTAGTGGTGAGGACTGCAGATTGCAGCCAGCCGAAACTTCTCCCATGTGCCAAGTGTGAGTTCCCTGTTAGGATTCCTTCAGTGTTCAATGTTCAGGAGCTTTGTACCAGGAGCTGAATTACCCACAGAGGTCTCCTCCTCCTCTCCTAAACAAATGGACGCTGTGATTTAAACTGGTAAAAACACAGAATAAGGCAGTTTTATGTTACAATTCAGTGCTTCTCCAAGCTCTTCAGCTCATTGACGAGGGGCTGCTAATGACGGTGGCCGACACAGTTTAGTTTGTCTGTTCTGGGCTACTGTAGACACACTGCAGTGCAACATGGCCCGCTCCCTTTGTAGATATAAATGGCTCATTCTAAGGTAACAAACACAGGACAATGTGTATTTTTAGGTGATTATACACTAAAGAAAACATACTTATTATATTGTATTTCTGCCAATCTCTCTTTCTAAATCCTTCACACTGTTCCTTTAAATTAATGAATGAAATTGGTCAAGATTCTGACTTCAGGATTTGCACTAGCTGACAACCAAGACAAAAGCCAGATTAATTAACAGCACATATTACAAGCTTGCTTATTGAAAATGTGCCGGTGGACATGGGCTGCCTGGGAGAGAGCAGGTCAAGTAGGTGGGACGGACATGGATCTTTGTGGTCTTTCTCTTTTGGCCTTTCCTAACTGCTGCCATCAAGAGAAGTTTGGCATAATCAGGTAGTTTCCCTGTGGAATTGCTGCACTCCACAGAGAGTCATTTTGTCTGGGCCAATCAGAGGTCCGTGTAGGGGAGAGTGCTGCTGTGTCTCCAGGGGTGTGACAGCAGTATGTGGGTCAGAGCTGCTCCCGGGGCCACCAGCCCCCAGGGCCCCCTGCAGGACGGCCACAATAGTAGCCCCAGGGCGGATGCCATAGCTGGGATTCCCACCCGTAACCGGGACGCCTTCGCCCAGGGCACAGACACACTGGCAGCAGCCCCACAATCAATTCATCAATCTCTGAAGGGAGTGGCAACCGCAAAAGGCCACAGCAGTCACCCCCACAGCTCGCCTTGGAAGGGACAGGGCCACCAGGGCTGACACTGAGGCTGACACCACGGTGGCCAGACGCTGCAGTAACCATCAGGGCCTTTATTGAAGCCACTTTTCTTGACCTGACAACAGAGGAACCCTCCTGAGAATGTGCACATAATCACCGAACACTCATTCATTTAATTTCCACTGTGATATTTCCACTTTATAGTGTTTCACTGAGCAAGAACTCACACTGACTTGCTGTTTATGTAACTGAGTCAAGCTGTGAGATTTTCTTCCAGCTCACTGAGTAATGTGGCTCCGTAAAGTTTTCCATCATTCGATAGGCAAGTGGACAAATCACAGCTGATGATTTTACTACGAGAGATTGTTCTTAAACTTACGGGTCAGAGAGTGATCATGTAAAAACAGCCATGTAGGTGCAAACACTGGCCGAGAGTCCACCTCCCACAGACCCTGCTGCAGCTCTGATATCTGAGCACCAATCCTCAGACTCTGTCTCCTCCTGCTGGACGGAAAACTGCTGGCTGTGCGTTCAGCTTGATGCACAGATAATTCATGTGTACCTACACCATGTTACATTTAAAGAGGCTTTATTTCTTAGTGACTTGGTGATCACATCAAAAGAGATCAACACTGCAATCATATTTTATAATGATTAAATAGTCCTGCTATTAATAAAATCCCCACATACTTCCAAACAAGCAGCAACTGTCCAGCTATCTCTCTCTCACACAAAATAAGATTAACAGTACAAGTGTCAGAAGCAGTTACTGATATTCATCCATTAGTGACTCGCAGCTTCTTGTTCAGGAATCTCGCCTGGTCTGGGGCCATTTTCTCAAATTAAGCGTGTTCTTGTTTTGGGTTCAGAAGTCACTTGACCATCTGACAATGTGGCCCATTGTGACAGGCTGCTCCATACGCATCAAAGAGGTGATTAACCAGTTGACAGGGCTGCTGGGACAATACTGCTCTTTACAGGGGGAAACAGTGCAGCCACTCACAGCACTGGGCTGCTGACTGGGAGACCACAACACTGCTTGCACATGCAGCAGCTGACAACATGAAACCAAAATAACTGCACATAATGGGACGTGTAGGGAACATGGTGTTCACAAGGATGATTTGTTTGCCATTTTAGAAGCTGCATATTTGTATTAATTATATTTCCTATGTCTGTTTGGAGGTATTTTATTTGTTAAGAGAAAATAAAAACAATCTTTTACCATAAAAAAAAATATATATTCCTTATGTATCTTAGAGGCTTTTACCCGCTTGGATGCTCGGTGCAACAATTAAGGCAGCAGCTCCTGAAAAAATGACGGACCAGTCTCTGATTGGTGCATACATCGGGCTCCTGGCCAATCACATGTCCCTCTCTGGGAGGGGAAACCCAGCTTCAAAATAAACTGCCACTTGTTCGTTGTTTGCAGTTTTGCAATTGGCGCGATTTATCTGCACTTATTACTAATGTTTGGTGCGAAGTTTTAAAGGAGGAGTTGTATTTCTCCTCCACTTTGACCACATGATATTGGATTATTTTCTTCCTCTGTCTCTCTTTATATCTCGTCTTCCAGAGACAGAGCGTGGAGCCTTATTATTTTTGATATTTTTTTTATACACATCCATACTTTGGCTTCTCGGAGGACTACCTAAAGCTGTGTGATATGATAATATATCACTGAATAGATTCGACTACAACATGATCCAGTGGCAAGTCATTTTACTGTGTGTGACGTGGAGGCTACAAACAGCATCATGCCAAACCCATGAAGGTAGGGGGATTTTTAATTACATATCAGAAACTTTGTGGTGCATGTTTTAATTAAAATTGTTAAACCAATTTTGATTTTTATTAATTATTTTATTTATTATTATTATTTTCCTGCTTGAATTCACCTGTTGGCACTTACTCTTCAGCATTTGTCTGCCCTTAAAGGTCACAACTTTTAACACGATATGCAACTATATATTAGAACATAATAGAATAATTAACATATATGTCATCTAGACTCGTTGGAGGCCAAGATGGCGGCATTTTAAAAACTGTAAACCTTAATTTCTTCCTTTTTCTTTTTATTTGTCATTATCATCATTATTATTAATTATCTAATCAATTATTTCCTGCTTGAGTCCACCTGTTGGCACTTAAGCCTCAGCATCTGCCTGCCCTGCAAGGTCACAGCTTCTAACATGCATTCCTGGAGTACAATATATAACATGATAAAATGAAACACAATTCAACAGAAGATACTATAGTAATTAACATGGATGCCATCTGGACTTGTCAGAGGTGAAGAGGGCAGCATTTTAACCCTCATGTCTTCTTTTTCCTTTGTCTCAGCTCACACAGTACTCACTGTACTCTCCTCTCTGAGAGCTTTTTTACTGTTATTACCGGGCTCTAATCAAGG